TTCTTATCGTAGTGAATAGAATTTCCCCTTTCATGTTCACTTGCATATAACTAAACAGCTTTTTCATTATTAATGCGAATATATGATGAGCAGGCAACCTGCATGCCATGCATGAAGAACTTGCAATTGAGTTACTAAATTACTGATGAAATGATATTGTCTTATATAAATTTCTCACTCGATTATTACGCAAACAACATGGAAGTAAATTTTTGGCAACAAAAAGACTTTTCTTTTTCACAACACTTGAAGTCTCCCATCATTTTATGGGGTTAGCATCCATTTCGTTTGTCAACTCACAGTTCCATTGCAATGTTCCGTTGAAGACAATAGGCATTTCAGTTATGCCATTTGCAAGTAACATTTCATTCAATCGATAATCCATCTCAGCTACGGTCTCATACCACTGAATTGCAGAGTAGTTTATTTGCATTCAACGAATGTACATATAGCATATTTTTTCAAGCTTATTTTGTTTCACATTTTCAATAAATACCTAAGAACATCATAAATCCTCTGCAAGAAATCATCCTAAATTATAGTAGTCAAAATTGAAAATTTATTAGAATTATTACATGTGCCATATTTTGCTTGCAATTAGCGCTAAACTTGCTACTTTTTTAAATAGGATTCATTTAAGTATTGATGGATTTCTTTTTAGGAGTAGGGAAATTTTGAATGAATTGAAAAAACCAAAAGAAAATATTATAAAGGTCAAAGATCATTGAACTCCACTCACTGCATTGACATTTCCTTCCCATTCTTATCAATATTGTCGTTAAATGACTAATGAATGCAATATTTTACTTATATATAAATATGAATTCACACATATAATCCTTATTTAATTAAAAAAATTTTTACTTTCAACTAATTTTATTTTTTTATGTTCTTTTATTCTAACTCTTCCATAGCATCATAGGTAAATAATGATCGTAATATTGGTGAAGCTTGGAAAAGGTTCTGTTCGAGAAACATTGGTGGTGGACTGGGTTCCGGTATGTCAGACATCAAACCTTGGCCAATCCATTTATACACCTGTTTGCACTTAGCTTTTAACAGTTCAATTCGTTCCAAAGGTGAAAGCTGCGGTACGGTACAATTCATCCAGTCGTCATGCTCCAAATACATTTCGTAATCATAACGAGCTTGAATCATTTCATCAATGATTTTTGGTTGTTCATCAACATTTAAATGTAAACTGAAATCAAATTTAAAAATTGAAAAAAAATTGAAAAATTTGAAACTGAAAATGAAAATTATAGACTGTACTAATAGTTGCGAGAAATGCATTAAATGCAATAAAGTTTGATAGTTTTAATTTGTCGGAATTATAGCTAAATTTTGTTATTGAAAGTGTAGATACAATCTCTTATGACTAAAACTTTAACTTTTTAAAAGTTGGTTTACAACTTTTTTTGTTGTTGTAAATTAAAGAAAATGACAAAAACTGAATAACTTAAATATTTCAAATCTTTTATTTTATTATTCATAAATTTCAATTGGAATTAATTAATTTTATGGAAATTAATAAACTAAAATGGCGACTTTCTTACGAGTATGTATCAGGAAATATTGCAACAACACGTGCAATTGTGCAAGCTTCAAGTTTTGGAAAACCAAATCGTATTGCAAGTCGTAAAAATTGAAGTGTATTAGCTTCACATGGTGGCCGTGCTGTCTTACATAGCTTAAATTAATCAACTAAATTTCAATTATTTTTTTCCCTGCAAATAATCATCTATTGTGATAGATCAAAAGGGAATAAACAATAAGGTCACATAATGAATATTTTGCATTGATTAGAGGGCTAATCAGTGATTTGATCAATAAAACAATCCTAGATAATATTAGTATCAATAAAAAGAATTTGATGAAAACTAAACAATTAGCATATCAATTAAACCAACTTTTTGATTTACAAATAGCAAAAAGAAAAAAAATGGTGACAAATGAGTAATGATTAATTCTTCTTGCTTATGTAATTGACCATTGTGTGAAAGGAACTTGAATTAAAATAATATTTGCGTAATTAAATAAATGCTTTTTCTTATTATATAATTGATGAAATATTTGATGTCAAACAAAATTAATATATTCATGAATAAGAATAGTTTGAAATAAAAAGATATTTGAGTAATTAAGTAAATATTTCTTCTTACTGCATAATTGATGAAATGTTCAATAATCAAATATGAACAATCTATTAATAAATGAAAATTGTTCGAACAAGAATAGAATAATTTGATATGCGAGTAATTAAGTAACTATTTTTCTTATTGTATAATTAATAAGATTAAGTTGATATATTATTGAACGATGAGAGGAATTTGAAATAATAATTGTTTAACAAATGCAGTATTATTTAGATGGAATAAGTGAATGTTACCCAATTAATCAATCAACCAATTAAATAATATTTTTACAACCTTTTGAAAGATGCGACAAAAATCATCATCATACATTTGCAACAATTCCTGATACATTAATGGTTTTAATAAATTTAAGCAAGCAAGAAATTGTTGATAATGAGCAAAATCATTGGAATTCAAACTTCCACCGTAATACCTTATTTGACATATACCCGTAAATGCAAATGATAAAACCTGCAAATTGCAACATTTAAATATTAGCACCAATTTTTATTTGAAATGTTATAAAAATAATTCAAATTTCAAAGCCAATTAGTTTTTCAGTAATTAGTTTTTTAATTTTTCTTGGTTTTTGAAAAAGTTTTTCTTAAATAACTGATTTTTTTAAGCCCATTAATTTTTAAGCTTTTTTCAGACTTTAAAACTAATTAGATAAAATCAGCAGTTGAAATCTAAATCAATCATTTAATATCTCATTAATTTTAGATTCTAAATTTCAAAGTAATCATCCAAAATTGTTGACTAAAATTGAACTAACTGATTATTTTGTTAAAAAAATTAATCGATTTTATATTGAATTCTAGTATTAAATAAAACGATCATTTACTGATGACAAAATAAATTTTAAAATGAAATAATAAATTTTTGAAATATCATTTACAATTTATTTGAAATTGTTATTATTTGTTGTTTTATTTAAAAATAAAATAAATTAATTTTTTTTGGCGCCAAAAATTTATCTGTTACTTTCTTTTGAAATTACCTCTTTAACTGTAATTGATTCATATTCTAAATGGATTGAATTTTCTTCCGGATTACTATCAATATAATCATGAAAATATCTGCATGTTATATACAAATAATGTCGATCGTATGATAATATTTGATCTATGCACTCAATATAATACATTCTATAAATAAGTGAAACAAAATTTTTTTTTGCAATTCCAATAAAATTTATGCTTTTTTCTGACAATGCCAATTTAATTTTAAATTTAATTTTAAATTCAATTTAATTTTAAATTTAATTATTTAAAATTAATCACTTGCCTGTTATATTTCAAACTTTTATCCAAAAGTTCTTATTTTAATTTTTTTTCTTTTTTTTTGAAAAAAACAACTTTGGATTTCATTAAATTTTTTTTTCATATTAGATAATTATAAATTTGATTGCATTAGTAATTTGGTGCGTAGAAATATTTTAACCAAAATGTTATTTTTAATATAACAAATTTTGAAATTTTCATTCAAATATTAATAAAATTTAATCATTGCTTAGCATGTTTTAATAAAAATTAAACATTCCAAAATTTCCGTTTCATCTAATTTTTATTACCACATTGGCCTAATTATCTAATTAATTGTTATTTATGTCATATTAATTATGCACTACTGTATTACTTATTTTGATTGGCAATAAATTTCATTGACCTTTCAGTGGTTAATTTCTTTCCTTACCCTTTATTTTAGGTAATAAATGATAAAAGGTATTTCACCAGGTATAATACCCGCTACTACAAGTTTTCATCCGGTATATTGCCGTTGGGTATATCACCCATATGTACATTACACATAAATTAAAAATCTTTTCGATACTTTTAACAGAATATGCCATTCTTGTCAGTTATAAAACAGTTAATTAATGATATTTCAAGATAAATTTCTCTTCGATGGAAGAATTAATTAGTTTAAAATTTTGAATTCTCAGATGTTTTTTCAAATTAAAAAAAACAAAAACAAAAAATGCTATAGAATAAAGAACGAGAATAAAACATACAATTTTGCATTTTTTTTAACAAATGTTAATGCTTTCAATCGTTCATCAGCTATACTTTCCGGTTCCAAATAAAGTAACGGATTTAAATCAACTTCCGGTACGATGCAATCGAAATCATCCATTGCAAATGCTAATTTTATCTCAATTTTTAATTGACCAGGATTAAATTCATCATTTTGATATAATTTTGTTAATGTTTCCGTATAATGTGGAACAAATTCGACCCGATGCTTCAATTCTTGCCAATGTGCTGGGAAGCATTCAACTGGAAAAAAAAAGCGTTTCACTTTTTCTTGAATTAAATTTGTATATAAATTCCTGAATAATATCATAACAAATTGGAATACGGAAACAAGGAAGAGCGGGAGAAAAACAAAATAAAAAATTGAAACAAAGAAAAAATACATGCAATGAAAATCAAAAGGAAATAGGAACATTTTTTTTAAAAAAATTTCATCGAATTTTTTTTTTCGACTCACACTTTTAAAATTTAATAATTCGGAAGTGACGAATGCAAAACTTTTCTGTTAATCATTTTCTCTTGGTTCATTTGAAATTAAACGATAGCAAAAAATTTATTCCCGAATTTGCATTTTACACATTTAACATAATACGAGTGAAATAAAAGTAATGAATAAAAGGAAAAAAAATTTTAAATCGTTTTTCTTTATTTTTTACAACTTGGTATAATAATTAGTATTATAATAATTAACTGCAATTAACTTGGTACAATAATTTCATTTAAAATTTCATTTATTCTTTTTTTTTAAATTGATACTTTTAAAAATTAATTCTATTCCCTTTTCCACCATTTAGATTTTCTATAGAAAGTAAATTTCGTCATTTTTTTTTGTTTTTGCATAGGAAATAGAAATTAACGATTAACTTTAACAAATATGATGAAAAAGGAACGAAAAGACTAAGAAATAATATACTCTAATATTGCAATACTCGAATCACTTTATATCTCCAATATTAATCTAGTACTGTGCAATAATATACTGTAACACTGCAATATACTACACAGTAGTATGCTGTAATATATACATAGTAATATGCTACAGTACTGTTAATATACTGTAATATACTATACAGTATGGTACTGTAACATACTTTCTTTTGCTTTTATACTGTACTGCGGCATATTGCAGCGTACTGTAATACACTTTTTACAAAAAAAAATTTTTCATAGCTAACTTTTTTTGCTATTTGTTGATTGTG